GGAAGATTAATTTGCCTAAGGTGACCATGAGGATCCAGTGACACAGTATATGTGAAAAGGAGTTTGTGAAAAGCTACATAAAAATATTAGATATCTTTATGATTTCCAATAGGATACTAATCAGCTTTGAAAGAATGACATATTCTAGAGAAACCAGATTTCTGGTTTCAGATTTGAACTCTCAAGAGCTTGGAAGTTATCACTCCCATCCTCACAACAGCAAAAAAGCCTGAACAAACAGAAAATCAATGACTTTCCTTAGATCTGTCAAAGAACTTAAGCCACAAGGACAACTATCACCCTGAAAACTGGGGACTTGAAAGAGAGGTGCAGAGAATCACAGTGAATCATAGCCAAGATCAGCCAGGAGCAGAAGCTAGTAGAATAATAACTTATAGGAGCACTTAAACAGTAAGTGATGAATTACCAGAGTCTTAGCATAGACTAGCTTGAGACCTGAAAACTCCTAGGGGTCCAGTTTTAGGGAACCCCCACCCTTTCATGGATTTTACTTCCGTGAGTCCCATCAGGCTATCCCAGTTAAGATTGGAGAGAAATTTCCTTTTTTTTTCTGGCAGGGGGAAGAGGAAAATAACTATTTTGAAATATACTCAGAGCATTCTGTTCTAAATAACAAAGGTCTACCAGCCAAAGAAACCACTTTAGTAGGATCTTACCTGAACAGGGGAAAGATAATTAAACAACCCTCCCTCTCTAGCCTTTCTGTCTCACATAAGGGATAGGGTTAAAAAGGATAAGAAATATTTCTGAAGGCCATAGCCCAGGGACCAGGATTGCTTAAAAACAAGCAAACAAACAAATAAAAGCTGATCATAAGATTATAGAATACTTCCCCTTCCTAACACCTTATCACCACATCAAATAAAATAACGGTGAATTACAACTGAGCAAACTGCAAGACACAGATTGTAATTAAGAAAGAATTTCTAGGGAAACCCCAAAATGACGAGATACAAAAGCAAAAACACTAGAGGAAATCAAAGCCTCTGGCACATACAGCTACAACAGATACTAAACAGAGTCCAGCTCTTAGCCAGTTAATATATAAAACCTCACACTAAAAGGCTGATTACCTCAGTTTGTATTACCAGATATATCATTTTCAGCTTTGAGCCAAAAATTACAAAGCATGTTAAAAAGCAACAAGCACAGTGTGAAAGAGACAAAACAAGCATCAGAACGAGACTTATATGTGATACCAGTTTTGGAATTATCAGAGCCTTTAAATAACCATGATTAACTTGTTAAGGGCTTTAGTGGAAAAGCAGACAGCATACAAAAACAGATGGGTAATGTAAGCAGGAGATAAAAGTTCTTAAGAAAAAAAAATTAAAAGGAAATACTAAGATAAAAAACCTATAACAAAAATGAAGAATGCCTTTGATGAGGTTATTGGTAGACTGGACATGGCTGAGGGAAGAGTCATTGAGCTCTAAGATTCTTCAATAGAAACTTCCCAAACTGAATTGCAAAAAAAAAAAAAAAGAGAAAAGAAAAGAACAGACTATCCCAGCACTGTGGGATAATTATAGAAGATGAAACTTGCAGCTAATGGGAATACCAGAAGGAAAGTAATGAGAGAAAGGAACAGAAGAAATATCTGAAGTAATAATGGCTGATAATTTTCTGAAATTCACAACAGACACTAAACCACAAATCCAGAAAGCTCAGAGACCACCAAGCAGGATAAATACCAAGAAAGCACACATAGGTATAGCAAATTCAAAATGTGGATAACCAACGACAAAGAGATAATCTTTAGAGAATGTAGACTAAAAAAACACCTGTGTATTGAGAAACCAGGATAAGAATTACTCTTTTTGTCAGAAACCATGTAAGTAAGAAGAGAGTGGAGTGAAATATTTAAAGTGTTGACGCAAAAAACCCCTAGCAGCCTGGAATTCTGTATCTAGGAAAATTATCCTTCAAAAGTAATGGAGAAATAAAGACTTTCTAGGATAAACAAAAACTGAGGGAATATAGCACTAGTAGATCTGTCTTGTAAGAAATATTAAAAGTTCTTCATGGAGAAGGAAAATGATACAGATTAGAAATTGGATCTGCATAAAGAAAGGAAGAGCATCAGAGGGAATAAAATAAGGTAATATATTTTTCTTATTATGAATTGATATAATAGATGACTGTTTTTTCAGAGTAGTAATAACCACAATGGACTGGGTGAATATGGTATAAAGGATGGAAAAGGAACTGACAATCTTATGTTATAAGGTACCTACACTACTCATGAATCAATATAGCATTATTTAAAAGTAGACTTGGATTATTTATAAATGCATATTGCAAACACTAAGACAAACACTAAAAACTTTTTTAAAAGGAGTATAATTGATAAACTAGGAGAGAAGAGAAATGTAACCATACAAAATGCTTAAAGAAACAAAACAAATGTAATAAATAGAAAACAGTTACAAACATGGTAGATATGAATCCTACTATATTAACACATAATTGACAGGCCAGAAAATTGAAAATAGGTACAGAAAATGGACATTCAGGACAAAGTATGCAGATATGTTAACTGTAACATTTGTACTTTGTTAATAAAAAAATAGGTGACTTTAAAGCTTGTATTTATTGGTTTCTCTTCTCTCCCCTCCCCTCTTCTTCCCTCTAGTTCTCCTGTTCTTCTCCCCTCCTTCACCTCTCATTTCCTTTTCCTCTCCTCTCCTCTTCTGTTCTTTTTTTTTCTGAGACAAGGTCTCACTCTGTTGCCCAGGCCAGAGTACAGTGGCGCAGTCATAGCTCACTGTAGCCTCAAATTCCTGAGCTCAAGTGATCCTGCCACTTCAGCCTCCTGAATAGCTAGAACTACAGAAGTAAGCCATAATGCCTGGCTAGTTTTTTAATTTTTTGTAGAGATGAGATCTTGCTACGTTGCCCATGCTGGTCTCCAACTCCTGGGCTCAAGTGATCCTCCTGCCTCATCCTCCCAAAGTGTTGGGATTCAAGCGTGAGCCACCACGCCCAGCCTATTGGTTTTTCTTGTAAAACTTGCTGTGTTCTTATATATTCGTTTTTATTTTAACAGGTAGATTTTTGTCTTCTGGAAAAAAAAATGACTTATTTAGTTTTACTCTACTGAAGAAAAAAATACTGTGATTCAATACTCAATCTTAAACACACACACACACACACGATTCCTTTACTAAAACACAGATTTTTTTGTTTCGTTTTTGCTTCTTGCTCTGTTTTCAGCAGTGGGACCAGCGATGTCTAACTAGCTCTAGGTTATCTCCCAGCTTGCTCTCAACTGTCCAGGGGAGCCCAGTAAACATGATAATGACCCCTTTGGTCCTTCAGGAGGTGGATTTTCTGTCCTTAGTCTGAAATGATACATGCAAGCAAAGTTTACCCTATTAATCTAAGATGCAAATAATTTTGGTGGTGGTGTATACAGACCTGATATTAAAGTCACTTGAAAATTGTTACTGTTTCTTCCTTTTGAACTGGTTTTTAGAAGCAAGCTTTAGAGTATTACTCTTAAAAGAAATTCCTTCCTGGCTTAAGTCTATAAAGCACCACTGGTGCATCTGGGGAAATGTCTGGAAGGCATGAGCCAGCCTTGGATGCACTGCCTGTGTGTGAGATGAGCCTTCTGAAAAAGCAAACTTCTCTCAGACCCAGCCACAGCCAGTGCTGCAGTGAGGCCAAATGTATAAGAATTAATAAAGCAAAAGGACCGGAAGCTGGATGGTGGTGTGTGCCTGTCATACATTTCAGCCAAATATTTTGCATTGATAGTCATGTCACCTTGGAAAGAGATGACTTCTTGGGAAGCAGCAAGAGAAAGTAATGTAATATACTGTCAAGGCATTAATGTGTCACTTTAATGATGTTTCATTTCAGGTATCTTTTCGTTTTTATAATTTCTTCGTTTATGTTTAATGGAAAGTTACATTTTGTTCTGCTTCATATTTTCAAGGGATGATCATAATTATAGTCTGTATTTTAATAGTTTCTAATTGACATTAAGTAGTAGTCATTTTAGCATATGGAAAATAAAAATTAAAATGTAAAAATACTTAGAGCTTCGCAGTTATTAGAAGTTCTTAACCAGGGAACTGCTGTGACAAATTAAAAGCCAAATGGTTAAGTGATGTTACTAAAAACAAACAAAAAGAACAAATTTAAAAAAATAGATGACAAAATTTACCAACCTCAGATTATTCCTTTAAAAACATCTTTATAATACCTATCATTCTTAATAGTTAACCTTGCATTTTTGTTAAATATGTATTTATTACATATTATTCTTCTTGAATGCTTATTTTAATCTAGTTATTTGTACCTTTGAATTTTTCATAGTAGATAATCTATGTATAAAAATACAGAAATCCATTTTTTATTTGCTATAATTTTAATAATTCAGTCCTGTTTTTGAGAAAATATGAAAATTTGATGGGTTAATGAAATTAGTATATGTCTTTGAGTTGTACCAGCCTGTATCCTTCAAATGTATTAGCGATTCTCTCTGTCTCTTTTTACATTAAAATAAAGAATTTTCTAAGTGCTGATACATTCTACAGCTGGAATAAGGCTATAAGAGATTCAGAGAGCACTACCCTTATTCCTTGGGGATATTTATTTAACTTCTGAACTGTTGGGTAGTTAAAAATTCATGTGAGAGAAGGATTGAGGTTGTGTGCTGAAAGTGATGAAAAGTCACGAAGTGGGGTCTCTGACCCTGCAGGCAATTAAAAACCTGCTTATCTTTTTCAACTACTGAGTTACACAAAAATTACTCCAATTACCTGCAAGTTGAATCTCTAACTAAAACCACCAATACTCACAATGAAAGCCAGTTTCTCCATCCCGTGTGTTTTGTGGGGTCAAGGCACTGGCAGGATGTATGTATTAGCGCTTTGGTTTTTAAGTTCAGCAACTGACTGTTTCACTTGTACTTTATTCTCTGCTGGTTTGAAATGTATTCTTGAGGGATACCTGTGCTTTATTTCCAGATAGAAAACTACCTGCTACGAAATCACGAGACTAGAAAATACCTTCAAGAGCAGGCCTACCGCCTGCAGCAGGGTATTGTCACCAGCACCACCCAGCAGGTAAGCGAGCCAGTGCTTGTGACTTCGCCTTCTGTTCTTAACTGACCCTCTGAGAGCAAAAGACTTCTAGCGTTTGAATCATTTCCAACGGGTCAATAAGAACTAGTTTTTGAAAATGACAACAAATCCAAGTAGAGTTTTAGGGAAGATACTGAAGGAGGAAAAGGTAGGCTAATTCTAATGCTAAATATGCACTTTTAATTATCAATCAACAATTGCCAGTAAGATAGGTTTCTATACAAATATTAGGAACTTTTGGTTATAATAGATAACAAAATCTGAAAGTGATCAAATTTGCTACTTTGGAGACATTCTGTTCCTTTCTCTTTATTCCTTCACACTTCCATGGGTAGAATACAGATTCTCAGATTTTATGTTGACAATGTCAGGTTCATTAAAAAAAGAAAAAAAAAATTCCGAGATTCTTTTGAAGAAAAGTTTGATGAATGTTAATTAACACATGCTGAAGAGAAACTGAGGTGTTTTTCTCTTATACTGCATTCCTCTTCGCTCTACCCAGCTTTACCGAGGAAACGGAATTATAATAATTTTAAAAAATGTGAAATATTTCTTTTCAAAAAATTAACCAAAACCAAAAATCACAAGCTATTTGAGGAAAGCAATTTATGTGTCAAAGAGCAAGATGAACAAAGGAATTGAGCTCAGATAATGCAGAGTACAGCAGAGAGCTTTAAAAAAAATTGTCATTTTAAGTTCATTGGGACTACAGAGAATGATATGTCCATAAAATAAGAATAGGCTGCTATGAACAGGAGTAGTCAGAGAATAAGAACAGTGCTTAACAATTAAAATTATGATACTCTGGTACAGAATTAAATAAACTGATAGGACCAAACTAAGCTGGTCCTCTGGAAGAAAAAGTAGAGCAAATCTTTATAGCTTATAATAAAAAAAAAGACAAAGATTAAAAATAGGAAAGCAAAGTAAGTGAAGTGGTTAATTGACTTAGAATAATCAACAGCCTTCTAATGGAGCTTCAAAATTATTATAAAAATGAGAGATATTAGAGAACAGAAAATAATAGAAAACCATTTCATATGAGTCTTGGAATTGATATAGCCCACTAGAATTGATCAGAATGAGTGGGCAAAGGGATCCACATCTAAATATATCTTGGTGGTATCTCAGAACACTTAGAATAAAGAAAAAAAAAATCTTAAAGAGTTCCGGGCCGGATGCCGTGACTCACGCCTGTAATCTCAACACTTGGGAGGTTGAGACAGGTGGATCACTTGAGGTCAGGAGTTTCAGACCAGCCTGGCCAACATGGTGAAACCCTGTCTCTATTGAACGTACAAAAGAAAAAGTAGCCAGGCGTAGTGGCACAGACCTGTACTCCCAGCTACTTGGGAGGCTGAAGCAGGAGAATCACTTGAACCTGGGAGGTAGAGGTTGCAGTGGGCCAAGTGCGTGTGAGACTCTGACTCAAAAAAAAAAAAAAAAAAAAAGTTCCAGAAAGAGTAAATGGGCTATCTTACAAGGGAACTAGAATCATTTATTAGCATCAATCCCAATTAGTATATGTAAACGAAGTAATGTCTTCTTAGTTTGGAAATGGATTTATTCTGGACCAAGAATCGTATACCTAGCTGTTTTCAGACATGAACTCAGAAACTCTATTCCCTTTGTATTCCATATATGAAAAAAAGTTACTTGAATAAATTCTCAAACAGGAAAGTATGCAATATGAGGTATAAATAGGATATGATAGCAGATATGAAATTGTAGAAGTTTTACAAGCTGAAAGAAAGATTTTAAAAATCGCTGCTTTGGGAAAATCTACTTTGAGCTACGGGGTTAAGGGACATGGGATTGGCATGTCTTTCTCTGGGGCAGCCATAATCACAACTTTATAACTACATTTTAGAGGGTTTAAAATTTTAATATTAGACAAGCATTTCTCTGATGGCCAGTGATGATGAGCATTTTTTCATGTGTCTGTTGGCTGTATGAATGTCCTCTTTTGAGAAATGTCTATTCATGTCCTTTGCCCACTTTTTGATGGGGTTGTTTGTTTTTTTCTTGTAAATTTGTTTGAGTTCTTTGTAGGTTCTGGATATTAGCCCTTTGTCTGATGAGTAGATTGCAAAAATTTTCTCCCATTCTGTAGGTTGCCTGTTCACTCTGATGGTATTTTCTTTTGCTATGCAGAAGCTCTTTAGTTTAATTAGATCCCATTTGTCAATTTTGGCTTTTGTTGCCGTTGCTTTTGGTGTTTTAGACATGAAGTCCTTGCCCATGCCTATGTCCTGAATGGTATTACCTAGGTTTTCTTCTGGGTTTTTATGGTATTAGGTCTAACATTTAAGTCTCTAATCATCTGAATGGCAATCTTAATTATTGCTACATAACAGATTGTAAATGTTGAAAATCACAATAATGTAAAGGTAATGAAAGATACTAAAATTAGAAGTTTAAGAGGGAGAAAGTTGAATGGTATTGTAAGTATGCTAAATGTTTAGTTTTTATTTCATGGAATTAACTGCTATTTTCTATAATTCATAAATCAAAAACATAAAAATAAGTATCCTATTTAAATTTAAAATGGAAGCCACCAGAGGAATTAAAAGAGCAGAGGCTTTAGAGAAATTAGAAGCTTAGAAGAAATTAGAGAAATTAGAAATTTAGAGGCTTTAGAAAAAAAAAGAATTTTTCTCTGCAAATTGAAAAGAATTGACTAGTAGGGAAATTTTTGTCATTTTAGACCATGTTGAATGAGTCACATTATTTTCTTACCTTGTTAAAAATGTTATTTAATTTTCTGTTGCTTCTTCTTAACAGAGAATGAAAGAAAGATGTCCATAATAAAAATGTCATGTATAATATTCCAATTAGGTAAAATATGGATGACTATATAGATAGGCATAGAGACATGTGAAAGGGTGTTCGTCACAATATTAATGATGGTTATTTTAGGTGATATGAAAGGTGTATTTTATTCTCTTATACTTCTCAGTATGGTTTGAATGTTTTATAAATACGCATTGTTTAAGCAAGAAAAAGTAAACCAATATGTGTCGAGAAGAAAAGTTGTACTGGTGAAGTAGCAGGACTTTTGATAAAGCCATTATTTTGACCTTACCAGTCCCTTAAAAATCTAATTTATTTTCCTGCAAAGAACTAATACTAGCCTAGTATTTTATGGTTTACTGTTATTAACAGGTTTTTGTGTTCAATATGAAAAGCAATGATAGTTACATTGACACTTTGTCTTGTGTTCCTTTATGAGCTACAATAATGAAGACTTCTCACTCTGTCACCCAGGCTGGAGTGCAGTGGCGCAATCTCAGCTCACTACCAACCCCTGCCTCCCGGGTTCAAGCAAGTCTTCTCCCTCAGCTTCCTGAGTAGCTGGGATTACAGGCACCTACCACCATGCCCGGCTAATTTTTGTATTTTTAGTAGAGACAGGGTTTCACCATGTTGCCCAGGCTGGTCTCGAACTCACCTCAAGTGATCCACCCACCATGGCCTCCCAAAGTGCTGGAATTACAGGTGTGAGCTACCGTGCCCGGCCCAAGACTTCTTTTCTTTTCTTTCTTTTTTTTTCCTTTTTTTTTTGAGACGGAGTTTCGCTCTTGTCGCTCAGGCTGGAGTGCGATGGCGGGATCCTGGCTCACTGCAACCTACGCCTCCAGGTTCAAGCGATTCTCCTGCCTCAGCCTTTCTTTTCTTAATATAATATCTTTCCAACTTTTTCCCCCTAATTCAGAGCAGATTTTGCCCATCCAAAAGAAATTACAGCAGCACCCTTTAATGCTTATTCTTAAAAGTACGTTTCATCAATTGAGAGAAAATTGTACACAAGAGCAGTTGGTGGATGCTTAATTCTGCATAGATGGCATTATTCTGAATTATCTAAGTCATTATGTAGTAGGTATATTGCCACCTTTACACTTTGGGAATTTCTTAGGACATTATGATTAGCAGTTTTTAGACTTTAATCATTTTAGTCACTTCAGGGGAGATTTACCTTGAAGATTCCAAAAACCTGAATATAGAAAGGATAGACCCTCTGTGACTAATACCCCTGCCAACTTAATAGCCATCATTCTCAGTCATCATTCTCAGGTGACATCAAAGGCATTAAAAAATGTTTTAATGAAATATTGAAGTCTCATAACTGCTTGTATTTGTTTTTGTCTGGTGACTTTGATTAGGAAATATTTTTGTAAGACTCAACATTCTACCTTCGTTTTTGATACCTCCTTTTTCCAGATGATAAAGCCTCTTAATTAGGACTCAGCAAACTTCTTCTGTAAAAAGCCATATAGTAAATATTTTACTAGTTTTGGAGCCCATAGGATCTCTGTTGCAGCTACTCAACTCTGCTGTGGTACGGTGAAAGCCACCACAGACAATATGTAAATGAATGAGTGTTAACAATAAAACCGTAGTTATAAAAACAGGCCCAGAATTGCCTGCCACTCGCCATGCTCTTCTATTTAGCCTTCTCACCAAGAAAGAAAGAGAGAGAGAGAGAGAGAAAGAAAGAGGGAAAGAAGGAGAGAAAGAAAGAGGAGGCGGGGGAGGGGGCTTTACTGCTTACAGCTATTTGCTTGGTATATTCCCTTTCCTCTTTCATGTGCACATCTTTACATTTGCAGTCCTAACTTTGTTAAACACTCACTTTGCAACCTTTTGAAAAATGGCCTCTGTCCCTCTTTATCTACTGAAATGGCTCTTTCATTGGTTTCTTTGTCAAAAAGTGCCGGGGCCTTTTCTCCTTCTTTGTCTCTTGATAAAAGGAGGCAGAATATTATGGTTAAGAATCTGGGCTCTCAAGTCAGATGACCCCAGATATAAATCCAGGCTCTGCTATTCCCTATGTGTACGAACTTAAGTTAGTCACTTACTAGCCTCTTTAAGCCTCAGTTTTTTTATCTGTTTATTGGGGATGATGATAGTACCCATCTATGAAGGTGCTGTAAAGAGTAACTGAGATAATGCTTGAAAAGTACTTGGCTTCTTACCAGTAAACATTAATGGTTTTTTTTGGCTGTTATTTTTATTATTACGGTTACCATCATTATTATGGACCATCTCATCTTTCTTAAAACTCAATTCTTAGTTCATTGGACAATGTGCCATTCTGAATGTTCTGCCACTCTTGTGTCTTACCTTCTACTTTCTACACAACTCTTTCTCTTTTCATATCCCCAATACAGGATTTTTTTTCAAAGCTTTGTATTTAGTGTTCTTTTCCTTTGGCTGTTTACTTCTGTTTTAACTCTCTCATCTGTAGATGACTCCTGGATCTAACCATTCAGTCCCTGTTTCTTTCCAGAGAGCCCTATCTTGCCACTTATTTTTTTCAGCATCTCCACTCCTTTGGCATTCTGAGATACCAGTCATTAAGACCAAACTCATCCTTTTGAACTCTTGATTTTGCCGTTTCACTCAGGAACATCATCATTCACTGAGAGTTGAACCTTTGGAGTCATCTTGAACTCTTCATTTGCTTTCCCCATCCATTACCCATTATATACTGTCCAGTGGCTGCAAAAGATACTTCTTATGTTTTTATTTATACTACCAGCCCTCTTGCTAAGGTCTTTTTACTAACTACCTTCTATGTCTTTTTTTTTTTTTTTTTTAAACAAGAACTGCAATAACTAGTTTTTTCATCTTCCGTGTCTCTTCCTGCTTTCCACAGCCCATGCCCTTTGTATCAGGGACGTGAGCCACCATGAATGTTTTTATGGGAAGGGATTTCTAGAGCTCACAATTGTGGGGGAGAGCTGGGGAAGTGGTACTGTGTGCCTTGGACACCATGTTCAACCTCTTAGCCTGCACTGGAGTGCTATAATATCCTACCTTAACCCATCATTCCAATCTGATCTCCCACTATAAGGTGCCTCTATTCCTAACCAGGAGATAGGAGTCATAGTGTCTGGATGTACCACTGCTTGGGTTCATTCTTTTGCTTAACAATCCCTTCTGTTTTCTCAATCTGTACAAATATTTCAGGACTCAGCTAAAAAAAAAAATAAAAGTAATTTTTAACCTCACCTAGGTGTGATTCCTCCTTTGGCTAAAATTTTTTAAAAGCTTATATCATTCATTTATCATTGAATAAACAGTTGTAAAGGTCTATGATATGGCAGGCACTATCTTAAGAAATAGGAATTCAGCAGTGAAGAAAATAAAATGTTCATGTCCTTGTGGATATTATGTAGCACTTTGTGTCTTACGTTACTATTAATTGTCAATATTTCTTCCCACTTCTAGGTTTTTAAGTTGCTGATGGCAAGGGGTAACGTTTTTCAACACTGTATCTCCTCTATGCCAGGTGTTCAGTTTATTTCTATTGAATGGAATAAAGAAACAGATGTGGAGAGTGATAAAATTTTCTATGAATAAGCTGTTTGCTGGAAGTAAGATCAGTTGTATCAACTTGTGAGCAACAACAGATGACATTTATTGCTAATAGTTGTAATTCTTACACGTGGGTTCAATAGCCCCGTATATTTGAAAAAGCCTAGGTAGTCACCAGCAAGTATGATATGAGTTAATGGTGTGACATAGTTGCCAAAGAAACCAATTTGACTTGTACTGTATTAATGAAGGTATACTTTCTACAGTAAGGAAGCTCAGCTCTGTGCTTACCAGTCCACTCTTATGTTACAATCCATTTCACTGAGGAGGGCATACTTCATGAGGTTCTAGGTGGAAGACAGAATGCAGAAGTGACTTACAGGAAAGGAGGTCAAGGACTGCAGAACTGTGTCAGTGTAGGCATGGGAAAAGGAGCTGGGAATGTTAAACCTGAAGAAAAGAATGCTAAGGAAGAAAAGATGGGTATATTTAAATATGTGCAAGACTGTCACTGGAAGAGATCATATGATTGTGCAGGGTGTTCACAAGGGGAAGATATGGGAACTGCAGGATGGATGTAAGAAGACAGATTGAGACTCAAAACCATGTCTGGGAATGACAGGGTACATTTTCTTGGAAGGAATTGGACTTCGTAAACTATGGCAGTCAACAACTTTTCTGTGTAGCTTTAGAGAAACTGAACACTATAGGGTTAGGGTGAAGTAGAGAGGTTAAACTAAACAGCCCTAACACAACCGTCTTCTATGAGGTCTTCTAACGGAGTAACCCAAGAGATTATAGCCTTTCAGATTGCATCTTGTTTATTTTTCATATTTATGTACTTGAGAGATGAATTATGAACTGATAAACCCCTTGATTTACTTTTTTCAAAATTTTCAATTTGTACTCTGTGTAATCATTGTATGTCATCTTAAATAGTTTACCTTTTCTGAGCTTTGAGCTCTTTCATGGTAAAGGATCTACATGTGGTCTGTTGAGCTATGCTCAGAAGAATCTTGGAGACGTGAGATTTTTATGTCTCCTTTGAATTGAAGAACTTAATTTTGATTTTTCTTTTGGATGACATTTTAAAATGTTCTACTTAAAAACCGTTTTTGTTAAGTTCCTGTAAACCCTCTCTCTTTGGTGAATGCATACATTTCAAGCATCTCTTTGGTCTCTCTTGGTGATTAAAGATACCAGCTTTATAGTGCCTCATCCACATGCCTCTCAAATTAGCCTATTGCGGCCCCAAATGTATATCAATTTCTTTCTTAGTGTGTGGCTTATTTGTCTCTTGAAATTGGGCATTCATTCTTTGTAAAATATGAATTATTGATGACCCTTTTTGCTTCAGGAAGCACAGATCAATACAATAGTTAGAAGAGTTATGATTTCTATCAATTAAGATTTTTAAAAACTTATAGTTAGCTCTATTCAGGGCATTGTGTAAATGCAGAAAGATATGATTTCTGCCTGCAATCATAGGCAGGAATCATAACTTTCTTATCTTAAATTTTAGGGATTTTAGGCAGAGAATTTGATGTGAGAAGCAATATTCATATAACTTCTTTTTCCTATGGGGATCTCAAGATACTAACTTATGTAACCTCAATATATTTTACAGCAATAGGAGCTGTTTTTATTATACATGAACTTTGGCATTACTGGCCCTTTATCAGTAATAGGTGCTTTGAGTGGTGTTATATTACTGAATTGTCTTCATAACACACTAGTAAAGAAGGTGCGGTAGATATTATGAACGTGACTTTACAAAGAAAAAGGCAAGAGAGATGGCAGTGCTGTAGCAAGTAAACATGGGCTTTGTAATAAGACTTGAAGTCTTCGGAATAGTGTGTAAAAGTCTCTTATCATTTTGAAATTTATGGGGGAAGAAGTGCAGACTTTAGCTTCCTATAGTTATGATATCAAATAATTCAAAATAGAGAAGTGCAAATTTAACTAAAAAAAGAATATTGTTTGTCTCCTCTGCCAAATGAATTATCAGATGGAAGGGGACTCTTGACATGTAAGGTCTTTGAAGCATGAATAATTTTTTTAAGAACATGAAATAAATAGACAACTGGCAGCTCTGACGAAAATATTGGAGACACTTTTAAAACCACACTGTGGTTATCTTTTTCTTCAGACTTCTTGGCTTCCTTCATGCTTTTTTGTATAAGTATAGAAGAGCATAATCTTACCTTTTGTATTATTTTTTGTCTACCATAGGGATCCACCATCTCCTATTGGGTTTTGTATTTATATCCGTAAAACAGTTGAGAATGATTTAGGTGCAATTAACCTGGCAGGGGAGGCATCTTACTGTAAATTAGACGATATTGACTTTATTATTACCTATGTCAGTTTAATAAAACCTCAGTTTGTTTTTGTTTTTTGGTAGCTCTTAGTTTACAAAGAAAAATGGTTCATGTAATTGAATCAATTTTTAAAATACCGATTTTTAAGAGATACTCTGGTTTCTATAGTATTGAGACCAACTGACTGTCGGGCATCATTTTGTAGTCATCGCAACACTCTCAGTGTTGCACATTTTATTTCTCTGTTTCCTCAGTACCTAACTCTGTGTCTAACACAGAGGGTGCTCACTGAAAGTTAATGAAGGAGTTAGTATCTAGCAGAATGTCACCAAGTGAGCTTCTGAATCATCAAGAAGTGTTCACTTTTGTTCTAGGTGCTGCATTCCCTAAGGCAGGAAAGGGAACTGAAATGCCTTCAATTTTTTTCTGATGTTAAAGTTGCCAAAGGTTACTTGCATGAATAAAGTTAATTAATAATTGCTTATAAGCAGCATTCTCAACGATTCCAGTTAGAAGGGTTTGAGGTTTTCATCCTCATGCATTCTGTGGTTTGCTGAAGTTGTTTTCATACTCCTTCATTCTGTGTTTCCTTCTATCTGAATATCGGCGGGGCTGACTTGGATGCTTGCCTTTTTCTGGTTTGGAGCAGATGATTGACAGAATATGTGTGAAAGTACAAGATCATCTCAACTCCTTACGAAATTGTGGGGGAGATGCTATCCAGGAAGATTTAAAATCAGCAGAGCGGCTCATGCGTGATGCTAAGAACTCTAAAACGGTGAGTTTCACTTCAGGCTGTGTGAGAGTCTGGTGTAATAAAAGCGTTTAATAAAATTTAGTTTTAGAAACCAGTTTCAACTTTCTTTCTCTCTCTACCCAATTCCAAGTTTACTAACAAGTGGCAAAGTGAACTGAATTAGCCTTGACCTCCTTTCTGTACCTGTGCTGATTACCAATAATCAAGATATAGAATAAAAAGCAGAGGGCCAGGGTGATTTCCAGAGGGTGTGATTGGGCCCTCAACAACTGAAAGGGAGCTGTAGTTTAAATGAGTAACAGCTCATTTAAAATGATTCTGCTTCTAAGCTGATAACATGAAACTCCCCTCTGTTGCCTCTAAAAGGAAGTTTCTTTCACATTAGACTTTGGTTCCCAGTGTGTGACTTAGTAGAGCAAGGACTTAACTGTGAGTCAGAAAAACTGAGATCTGGTTTTGGTTCTGCTGTTAGAATCACACAATCACTGAATGTCATGAGTATGAGGAAACTGTAGATCAATCAGATACGCTGGTGATACAATAAGAAATGTATATTTGGTCTTTGTTCCCAGTTCCTGATATGAAGCTTCTAAAACCCTTGTAATTTCCTGAGTGATAGGGATGATAGGAGCATCTTTTGTTATAATATTTGGTCTTTGTCCCTGGTTCCTGGCACAGAGCTTCTAAAACCCCTGTAATTTCCTGAGTGACAGAGATGATAATAGCATCTTTATTATTAATGAAAAGCCCCTCTCATCACACCAGAGTTTATCCTAATGAGGTGACTCTTCCTGTGCCCCTAGAAAGTTGCAGGATAGGGAAGGTTGCCAGAGGAACCAGCCATGTTATTAGTGAACTGAATCTGTCAGCTCCACCCCCTGGAATCCATGGAAATGGAGAGGGGCTGGAGATTGAATGGACACCAATGGCCAATGATTTAATCAGTCATGTCTATGTAATGGGTCCTCCATAAAATGTCTAAACAGTAGTCTTCAGAGAACTTTTGGGTTGATGTACTCATCAACATGCTGGGAGGGCTGTATACCTGGAGAGTGCCCCTGAAGCTCCCCCAGCTCCGTACTTCACCCTATACATCTTCTGTTTGGCTACTCCTGAGCTGTATCTTGCATAATAAACCAGTAATCATAAGTAAAATGCTTGGCTGAGTTCTGTAAGTCATTTTAGCAAATTACGGAAACTGAGAAAGGATTTATGGGAGCCCCTTGAATTTAAGGCTTGTTAGAAGTACCAGTAACAACCTGGGACCTGTGACTGCCATCTGAATTGGGGATAGTCTGGTGAGACTGAGTCCTTCGCTTTTGGGATCCGAGGCAAACTCTGGGTAGACAGTGTCAGAATTGAATTGAATAGATTTGTAGGACACCCATTTAGTGTATGCAGAGAACTGGAGACTTGTCCGGTGTGGCAAACACCTACACTTTTGGTGATAGAAGTGTTGTAAGTAAAAGCAGCTCAGCTTTCATACCCCAGATAAAGAAATTAAGACACGAAGCGGGGCTGGGCGCAGCGGTATGTGCCTGTAATCCCAGCTACTCGGGAGGCTGAGACAGGAGAATCGCTTGAAGGTGGGAAGCAGAGGTTGCAGTGAGCCGAGATTGTGCCATTGCACTCCAGCCTGGGAAACAAAAGCAAAACTCCATCTCAAAAAGAAAAAAAAAAGACATGAGGGGGTAATGTATTATTCCTGTGGTTTCAAAGCTGCTTAATGACAGAAGTGGTCAATGTGAAAGTCTCCTAATACCCAGTCTAGTGTTTCTTAGGGTTGCCATGATTCATTGAATAAAAATGAATGCCCATAGTCTGGATATCAGTTTATTAATCCGTGCAAAGAGCCTTTGACTGAGAAGAGATTACGCCTAACAGTATGTCTTCACCCTTCTCATTCACTCTGCAATGGCTTTGATTGAAATATTTACTCAGTTATAAAGAGGTTTTTTTTTTATTTCTCTTACAGTTGTTACCAAATTTATACCATGTTGGTGGTGCATCTTGGGCGGGAGCCAGTGGCTTGTTATCCAGTCCAATTCAGGAGACCCTGGAATCAATGGCTGGAGAAGTTACAAGAGTAGTAGATGAACAACTAAAGGTTTGTGGGATTTGTTATTTGGGAAATGAAATTGTTAAGATTTAACTATGTGTGATAGCATTTTATTCCATAGCTATCTGTGTTTTATAGATTTGTATGTGTGCATGCTGCAAAGATGTACTTGTAGTAAAAATTGAATACTGTGTCTTTTGCAGCTTCATTATAAGTTTTGGAAAGACTTCTTACATAATCATTTTTGATGGTAAACCTCTAAATGTACCTAATAAATTATGGGTTGCCACTGATAAAGGAATGATTGATTTCTATTAAGGGAGTAGAAAGAGAAGTGTGCTTCAGGAAAAAATACCTTCTGTTATTAACATCTGATTTAGAGAATGGGAAAAATGATGGTAAGTACATTTACATTACCTAGATAGTGCTTATGTGGGGAGTCTGCCACTGGGTGAATAGATAATCTTGTAAGGAGCTGGTTGAAAGACTAGGAAAGGTATTTAAATGTAATTACAAGCTACTCAAAGTTGCAGAGACCTGCCTATAGATTCACTGGAAAAAAGGTGAAAAAAAGGTTTAAAAAAAAAAAAAAAAAGAAGTTATTGAAATTTTAGGGGAATAGACTAATCTAAGACCAGCTTTTGCTCAAAGTAACTTCAAGAAACACCTACACTAGATAAATTTCACGTTCAGAAAGTTTTCATCACTTCCAATCTGCCTATCAAGGCAGCTTGTAAAAACTGTGTCTGAATTTGTGTAAGTATTTGGCCGGTTTTCTTCTGAGAACACAATTACTACAGCATATAGGGATTTGAAGTACAAATCAGTAATAACTTTGCAGCATGTTAATTACTCTCTTTGAAAATTAAGTTAATGAAGGAGAAAATGTGGGGTTTTCTTTTTAAGGAGTTTAATCCCCTGTCTTCCTGTGCATATGATACAGAGAGACTCTGTGTGTCATTTTTATTTTATTTAATCATGGTTGTTTTTAATCCGTAAAAGGAGTGGATGGTAGAGTTCTGCTAGACCATTTATTAATTAATAGCACTTGTTTTATCCTCCATGAAGGATAACATATTTAAAACAAAATTGGCTTTGTTGTTTATTTTTAACTGTAAAAACTGACTTACTCTTTGTGAAATGTTTAACCAATACTAACATGTAGGGAATAAAAGAAAGTGAAAAAATTCCCTGAGATCCCAGAGGTAGTATCTCTGTTAATATCTTAGTGAATTTCTAGACATTCTGTGCCTATATAAACAGTTTTTTATATAAGTGATCATACTATACATACTGATTGGTAACCTTATTCTATTTGGTACAATGTCATGAATACAATTATAGGTTGATGAATAATCATTTTTAATGGCTATGTGGTATTCCATTGCATAGATGTACCAGCATAATTTATTTTATAATTTCTGATTAATTTAGTTAGGGTAAATGTCTATAACTGACCCATTGTTATGTCAAATAGTATTATACTTTCATATGTATTCACACACTGCTATTCACTAGTGCAGGCAATTGCTGATTTTGCCACATCTTTAACAACGCTAAGTTTATCAACCTTTTAATATTTTTCCATGTAATGGAGAAAAAAATTTTTTCATTGTGTCTTTTTGTTTTTTGAGATGGTGTCTAGCTCTGTCACCCAGGCTGGAGTGCAGTGGCATGATCTCAGCTCACTGTAACCTCTGCCTCCTGGGTTCAAGCTATTCTCCCGTGTCAGCCTCCCAAATAGCTAGGACTACAGGTGTCGGCCACCACGCCCGGCTAATTTTTGTATTTTTAGTAGAGACGGGGTTTCACCATATTAGCCAGACTGGTCTCAAACTCCTGACATCAGCTCAAGTGATCTGCCTGCCTCTGCCTCCCAAAGTGCTGGGATTATAGGCATGAGCCACCGCTCCCGGCCTCATTGTGTTTTTTGGATTTCTTCAATAACTCAGTGATGCATCAAGTAATTTCATCCCGCCTTTGTATTTCTTCTTCTGTAAATTATGTATTCATATCTATTGCCTAATTTGTTTCATTTGTAAGAACTTATTCCATACTGAAAATTGGCTAGAATTTAAATGGGCATGAAACATTTGTAACAGGACCTTTCCTATCAAACAGCTTCAAAATTGTCATTTCAACTGGTCTAAACGACAAACCACCCCTTATATCTTTGGTGTTCATTTTCTTCTCATTGCATGGAATTGTTGAAATGGATTCTTGCCAGTCTCTTTCTCAGGAGGGAGCAGAAGGAGAATATCTGAAGTATAACTATATGTATTTTTATATTTATTTATTTATTTATTTATTTATTTATTTATTTATTTATTTATTTTTTGAGACGGAGTCTCGCTCTGTCACCCAGGCTGGAGTGCAGTGGCCGGATCTCAGCTCACTGCAAGCTCCGCCTCCCGGGTTCACGCCATTCTCCTGCCTCAGCCTCCCGAGTAGCTGGGACTACAGGCGCCTGCCACCTCGCCCGGCTAAGTTTTTGTATTTTTAGTAGAGACGGGGTTTCACTGTGTTAGCCAGGATGGTCTCGATCTCCTGACCTCGTGATCCGCCCGTCTCGGCCTCCCAAAGTGCTGGGATTACAGGCTTGAGCCACCGCGCCCGGCCAACTATATGTATTTTTAAAAGCCTAAAATAATATAAATATATTTAGGGTTCAAAATATTTTCTGTAAATAGGCATTTCCTACTTTTTTTTCAGGCTGATTTCTCTGACCCCTCTTTAAACATCCCCATTGTTCTCCATTCATCATCGCCTCCTTGTTTGCAAATATCGTAGCATGCTTTTCTCTCATTCTCACTATTTCGAAGGTCCCGGGCCTCCAAATGGCCTTTTCCCCACCTTTTCCTGTTCCCTACTTACTTGTTTTTATTATTCTCCATCCTTCTGAGTTTCAAGTTTCTTCTCCTTTGGGGATGTCTGGAATGAAGCAGAGAAAATCCTCAACCAAAACATCTTAATTAAATGTATTTTAAAATGTTCTTTTAACTGGGTGCACATTTCAGTTTTGATACTTCTAATGGACTTCCTTATATTTCCTTCCAGTTTACATGACAAATGGACAACCTTTTACTATTTTTTAAAAAATACCATTTATAAAATTTATATAAACTTCTAATGCATTGATTTTCTTAAAATTATGTAGGCAAAGTGTATTTTTAATATAACCAGTGTTCAGTTTTAAACTATTGTGTCTCTTATTGAATTCACTACTACTATCAAATTTTCCTAGTTAAAAAGTTTCCTTTTTCTATTTCCCACATTCTCTAAAATTAACATATTAAACTCACAAGAGCTAAAGTCGATGGATTATCTTGTTTAAAAGTTATTTTGTAAAAATAGTTTTTATTATAGGAAGTGGTAGATTAAAAAAAGGAAGCCAGCAGGCCTAGATTTGTGTCCTGGGTTTCCTGCTGTGTGCTCTAAACAAGTTGCCTAACTTTTTTGGACCACGTTTCCTTCTGCAAGATTATCTTGGCCTCATGATAATCAGGGGGATTTATTCCAGCTCTAATGTTTGATCATCCTGTACCATGGCCAGTCATAGACATTTTGAACATTGAATGAGAATAAGTTCAAATAACTCTTTAAGCCATCTTTCCAAAGTATTATTTCAGAAAGCAAAATAAATGGCCAGATAAGCCAGCCTTCTTAGTATACTTCCTGGAGGAGAATAAAGCAGTAAGTCTGGAGAAATTCCTTCTTTGAAGGCGATGATGTTTTCTCTAAACTGGCCTGTTTTAGGTATTTCAGAATGACAACAGTCCCCTGTTTTCCCTGTTTTGATCCTAACGTTCATTCCTGGAACAGTAGTAGATGAACAAAGGGGAATCGAATGTTTTAACATAAGGAAACATTCATTTCTCCCTTCTGGACTTAAAGTCTAGGGTATTTGTGTTGGCCTAGGAAATTCTTAATTTCGTTCAGGGCTTAAATGGTAAAATACTTGACTGGCAAATTTCAGCTTTACTTAGGATATGAGGCCTGAGGGATTTAGGTGGCATTTTGTCAACTATTAACTCAGTTTAGCCAGAAGAGTTCTCTGAGTTTTCTTCTTTCTAGACTTTATATTTTCCAAAGCAAAAGAAAGGAAGATTTCAGGGCATTTTACTGTGGAAGTTGTATTTGCTGGTAATGAATTACAAGTCATTGGCTCACTGCAAGAATATAAGAGCATAGCTGCCATGTTAAGGATATTAATCCAATTTATTTTACAAATATTAAACAGGTTTCCTAAGTACCATTAGTTATTTTTACAGTTAAGACATATAGACCCTCATAACTGTCATTAGAGATACATCAAAACAAAATTGGATTATCGTATTTCAAAAACAGGGCCTGTTCACTGCAAGTTGTCTGAAGGTAGTAAAACAGGGAGACTAACAAAATGAAGGCTATATAAAAAAAGTTAGGAAATATGGATAGAATGAGAAATTTAACATAAGCCTAATTTAGATTTCCCCCCAGAAAAGAAAACAGAGACTAGGGGAAGGCAACATTTGAAGAGATGACAGCTGAGAATTTCAGAGATGAATTAAAGACCAGAATCTTCTGATGCAGGAAGCGCAGTGAAACCTAAAGCAGGATAGATAAAAGCGAACTTACATCTAGAATCGTTGTAATAAAAAGTGAAGAGCGCTGAAGATAAAGATCTTGAAAGGAGGCCAGAGTTGGTGGTTGGGGGCAGGCAGGGAGAGGCCCTTTTTTAATTACTTAAAAAAAGACCAGTATTAAGACTGACAGCTCACTTCTCAATAGTTAATGGAATCCAGAAGACAATGAAATAGTATCTTTAAACTTTAGAGAGTACATAACATATCAATCTAGAATTATATACTCAATGGACCTAGTTTTTACAAATGAAGGTGAAAGCATTTTCATCACTTCAAAAACTGAGATCATTTACTGTCACTGGGCTACACACACACACACACACACTCACACACACACACACACCAAACACTAAAGGATATACTTTAGGACAAAGAAAAATTATCTAAAAATGTAGTCTGAGCTACAATTGTGAAAGACTAATG